GGTGGCACGGGCGGCGCGGCACACCGACGGGACATGCACGGGGTGTGGGGGACGGGGCACAGGTACCCGTGGGTGTGTAGGGGTCGGGGGTGACGCAGGGCTCCAGCACATGTGGGTGTCTAAGGGACAGTGTATGGGAGACGCACACCTGGGAGCCTGAGGACCCAGGAGGGACATGGAGATGCACGGGAGAGGCCAGAGGCACCGTAGGGCACGTGGGAAACGGTGGGGGGCAGAGGAGTCTTGCATGGGACGTGCTGGAACCCGCACCCCCCACCTTCACCGACCATGTAGGAGATGCACGTGGCACGTCAGGGACACCCATGGGACACAGGACCAAGAGGGACCTGCGCAGGCGCTGGAGCACTGGCACGGGCTGCCTCCAGAGCTGCTGGGGTCTCCGTCTCCAGACGAGATCCCAAGCAAGCTGCTGGAGGGGCCCCAGCCGGCACGAGATGCTTGGACTTGGCTGAAGTCTCCTCATGAAACCTGCTGCCGGGAGGGTCCCCAGGGTTCAGCCCACCAGCTCCTGCCCAGCCGTGGAGACGAAGTCCAGACTGCTCCTGCTTAGCACTCCCAGCCGTGTGGCCACGTCCTCTGCAGGAACGAGCTGGTCTGGTGTCCCAGTGCCTCATCGATGCCGGGAGAAATAACCCACCCACATGTGGCTGCAGGGCAAGGTCAAGGACTCGAGGCCTTGGCACTGATCCTGCCCTGGGCCGTGACTGAAACCTTTGGAAAGGCTGTTGAGTTTTAGGCTTTTGAGCTTTGGAAAAAGTTGATGTGAGTGGGAGGTTGGAAGGCAGAGCTGCTCCTTGGGAGGCTGAGCCTGTATGTTTTCCACCTGGAAATTATTTCGCAGTCAGAGGAAGGACCAGGGGGCTTCGGGCTGATCAAGCCCAGTCACTGTGGGGTTCAAGGCTCCCCTTTTCTGTGAGACCTTCCATACAGCTGTGGAGAGGGCCATGGCAGTGCCTGGAGGTGACCCTGTGAACACGAGGCACCGCATGCTGCTGTATAGACCAAAACAGTCCGAGTGGGACTTTGCTGCCTCCTGGGACAGCCCTTCTGGCACGTGAGAGCTGCCAGCCTTGGGCAGATGCAGCCCAAGGGTGAGAAGGATCTGCTCCAGCAGAGCAGAAAACATGAAGAAACACACCACGAAGCGAAAGGGCACTCCCCTCTGTTCTTAGGAGGCAGGTTCAACACTCATTTTCCCTTTCCCGGTGGTGGAGAAGGGATGAAGATGCAGAAAGTTCAAGTGATTTGCCCAAGATTGTGCAAAGTCTCCGTGGCAGAACGGGACCTCGTCCGCCTGGGGCTGCGGCTCTGCTCGCTGCTGGAGGCTGCCGGGGAGCCTTCCGGCTCCTCCGTTGCTGGAGCCACGGAGCCCGTGTCTCCGCACAGCAGCTGGCCTTTCACAGGCTCAGGCGCGATTTGGCTCACGCTCGGTGAGGTTCCCCGCGTTGAGAAGGTGCTTAGTCACTGCCCTTTGGTCGGGAATGGTCTGTGCTGGGGGTGACCTTGAGAAGCGCCGCTCCAGCGGCCAGGCTGCTGCAGAGGCGCAGCCTCGCCGGACCGGGAGGGAGAGTTTTCCAGGGAAAACGGTGTGCCCTGTGTTTTCCTGTGCTCACAGCCACCCCCAGCCCCTGCGGGATGAACTCCTGTGAGATCAACCCGCACAGGCCAAGGGACCCCGTGCTGCCACCAGCCGCTTGGCCTGGCTTTCCCGCCTGGAAGGAGGCCGGTTTGGCGGGGTATCTGCGCACATGCAGGGGCGGTCCTAGCACAGGGCCCCCAGGACACTCAGCAGCATCTCGGGGCTGGAGGGCAGCGCACACCCGCTACCCGCAGAGCAGCCCTTGCAGAGGGGTGCAAGGGCCATGCCAGGCAGGCGCGAGGAGTGCCAGCCAGCATCAGCTGTGTCTCCTGCAGCCGGGCCCTGCTTGCTGTGCAGCTCCTGCTCCACGGCCAGAGCTTCCTCATCCTTTAACGACCTTCCTTAGGAATTATCAGGCAACTTATTCAGGGCGCGCGAAGTGGGAGTCCAAACAGAGCGCCAGAGCAGCCACAGGGGCAGGCCGAGCCGCCATGAGGCACAGCGCAGCAGACTAACGCAGCGGCGCCGCTGGTGTAGTGGTATCAT